ATGCGTTTCGAGGACGACCGCTGGACCAGAGCAGTCACCGACTGGATTCCACGGGATGTCAAGCGAACGCCTGGACGACCGCCTATGCGATGGTCAGACTTCTTCGTGAAAGCTCTGAACGAATGGTATGAAGTTCATCGTGTCCCTCGAGCTGAGAGAGTTCATTGGGCAACTCTTGCACGTTGCAGGGACGAATGGAGACGTTACTGGCGCCCGCTCGAGGAACTCGATGATCAACGGGAGCACAGGTGATACAGGTGATAATTTGTCTGCTGGTGTGCGTGTGTGTGCTTGTATGTGTATGGGTCTTTGACCAAAAATTCATAACTTTCCTTGATTACGCCGTACAGAGTTCAAATTGTTGAGTGATATGGGGGGGGGTGTGCGACGGGAACATGGTTGATGGGTAGTAGGAGGTGATAACGGGATCCGGTCGTTAGGCGCAGCCGTTTGCCATTGGGGCGTACCGGCTGTAATTGCCACCCACCACTCTGCCGATGCGACGCGTTTTGCTGGCCGGACAACTCGTCCTCTTCTATTAACTCCTTGATTACGTACTTGATCGACCTACTTGGCAGTGCGCCAACATAGACGACCGATTGCGTCCGAATCTCCTACTTAACCATTTTCGTCCGTTTTTGAGCGATTTTTTGCCCTCTTTCGCCCCGACATCCCTTACTTATGCTGGTAGCTACTTAGAAGTGGTTATATCAAGAGTACTTTTGAGCTCTGATCTATCCTACTTCGAAGCAGCTTCCAGCAGACAACGAGTGGTACTTCGCGTGTATGTACGATAAAAGTTTTTCAGTAAACATAGAATCTTAAAAGAAACTAACACTGTCTACCCTTCACGCCTCACTCTCAAAATTCCGGGATAGACGCTGGTCAGAAATTTTTGTCGTGAGTATATTTGGCAACAGCTCTATACACAGAGTATTTTGACCTTGTGAATACGAATATCACACCAGTTTGTTGTGCAAATGGATCTGGTAAGCGTGTTTAAGTGTCAAACTATCCTGCGATACGAGATTTTAAGAAAAATGGATGCGAAATATCGCATTTCCAGCAAAATCAGCCTGAAGCAATGCTTTTTAAAGAAATATACGACCAGTGAAGCTAGTCACTATTGGATGGTAGATTGCATTTTTCCGCCTGAATCGTTGTAGTGGAAGACTTGTTGAATTAGACAGCATTTTCACTGCACGCTAAACAGCTTTTTATCTCTCGAAGGAGTTATTGCCACCACAGTCCCATGAATTTCATCAGGCTCTTTCATCCTTTCCCTCGATTGATGACCCTTTGCATTCACATCTGTTTACAGCCCTCATATTCTGCTACTTTCTAGTATTTTAGTTGCGAGTTGGAACTGGCATTGCCACCTTCACCTTGTTGAAGAACGACATTCCTCATTAATTACGGCCAGAGGGGAGTAGACAAGGTGCGACTTTGCCTTCACTCATTTGCTATGCCCAGTGGAGTCATCAAATCTAGCGCACATCGTCAATGACAATGACATAATGAACAGAAAGACTTGAACTGGATTAAAATGAGAAACATCAAAAACTACTGTAAGGGTGGGAAAATCTGAAAATGCTACTTAGAAGCCTTACGACGCAACTTCCAACCCCCTTGATGGATTCGGAAGTATACTTTAGTTCTCTTTTTCACATTACCTCCACTTTCGAAAATGGTCTCCACGACTTGTAATGACCATTTGTAAGGCAATGCAAACGGGCCTCCTATGAGAATCACATCTCATGAAAGGCAAATAATAAGAAAACCAACATGCAAAAATTTGACTATACTCGCGAAAAAAGGTGAACCAGAATGGAAGGTCATTGCAACTATAGCCCGGGTGTGCATCAGGAAGAATTATTCAGTTTTACTGATAACAAATTTTCTGACAAACTCTTACCTGAGTAAAGTGAACTGAACTTACCGCGCAGAGGAGCACTCATCAAAAACTGAAAGCTGCTTCGAAGTAGAATAGATCAGAGCTCAAAAGCGCCCTTGATACAACCACTTCTAAGTAGCTAACCAGCATTAGGAAAAGGTTTCAGGGCGAAAGATGGTGATAACTCAGAAACGGACGAAAATGCTTAAGTAGTACATTCGGATGCAATCGGTAGCTTGTGTTGGCACATTGCCAACGTAGGTCGCGCAAGTACGCCAATCAAGAGATTAATATGCGTGGACGAGTTGCCCAGTACACGATACGCATCGCATCGGCGGACTGTGGGTTCAATTACTGCCGATGCGCCCCAATGGCAATCCGGCCGCGCCTAACGATATGCACCCGGTGATAACAGCTGACAGGGGCTTACAAGGGGCCTCAAAAAGGGGATCAACTCATAAGTCGCGTCACAGCAACCGCTTCCGCTACTCGTCTACGGGGAAATAGACCCACGACGTGGCTTTGCGCACGCGCATAGCAGAAACAAATTATTTAGGAGAGCTTAGTCAAATATGTATGGATTGCAGTGCGCTGCACTTTCCGCGCAAAGTCAAGGAAACTCATCCAGGCAAGTTGTAATAGTGTTGCGATCTCGGACGACGCACCTCAAACTTTTTTGATAATTTCCCTGAAGAACTGCGGCAGCTATCTCTCCGCGAACCAGAACATAAAGAAGAAGTACGGCGTAATTAGAACAACTTTCTGGGAAGCATAAGGAGTCTCAACTCCTTTTTAACGATGTCATCGATGGGTACACAGGTTGAATCCCCTCAAGGACATGGGCCGTACTGTTATTGAATTCATGGTCAGATCTATCACAGGCTGGGCCGTCTACACCCGAGAAACGGAGAACTACAACGGAGAAACTGGTACGGGCAAGTATACAGGGGGGGGCCAAAAAAAAGTCATTCCGGCCGAGTCACATATGAGCGAAGTTTTCGCAGCCCAGACAGAGGAAGTGGATATGAGTACCAGGGCGGAAGATACCCAAGATCTTCCTCTATAAGCAGGAGCCGGCTGCCGCCATTCACCTTCATGTACACCAAAATATGAAGTCATCTCCAGTCGCGGCCTGAGTGGAGAACGCCTTTGGAATTCACGTGGCCTCCAAACAGCTGCGGAACTTCTTGAATGGAATCACCCATGGATAGCTACCTGGAGACCAGTACTCTTGATCTGCAAGACCTCAAACATCGAGCAGCTCCGGCAACGTCGCTACGGTCCAGGACATCATCTTCACCCCATTCACCAAGGCGCGGGTTGATGGTGTGGACCGGCCGTACCTGGAATGGGAAGACCGATATTTTCTTTGTAGACCCCGACTGAAGGTGAGCGCTGGCGGTTACATCAAGTAACTCGAGAAGGATATCCTCCCTACATGTGGTCGCCTTCTTGGAGACCTTGTGCTGCTACAGGTTTGGGTGCCACCACATGGAATCGAAGGGTTTTGGAAAAACTCCTACTTCGAATGGAAGGGCGTTTCGTACCTGATGAAGATGTAATATTGAAATATGTCCCCTGACCTGAACCCACTCAATTACCTAGTTCGGGCGGAGCTCAACAGGGTGGTCTACAGTGGCGGAGAAATCAACGATCTCGCTCAACTCCGGTACCCACTCACTTTCGCGCGGCCGAATCTCTCGATGGCGCTCCTCCAGAAGGCTGTGGCGGAGTATCATTATAGTATTTAATGTGCTCTTTAATATGGTAGTAAAAATGTCCGATAAAAATTTAATAAAGTGTAACTTATAGCGCCTTGAAAGTCATGGAGGCAAAATGACTTTTTTTTGGCCCCCCTGTATATGTATATTAGGCACGGAGCTGGTAGCTCAGCAGCGTCTATGAAACCCAGGGAACGCTGAGAGTGAACCTCAGCTAATGCGCTTCCTTAATGGAATACTATCGGATATCAGTGTGTACGCCCAGTCATTTAAGATGATGCATGATGTAGAACAGGCAGCATCGGGAACAGTATCAACGTCAACATCCGCTCGGTCTTTGAAGAATGTCCTCTAAGAGAACTGGAGCAGCGGCAGCACGATCTCCCAACTGCAAATGAAATTGCCGTGATTATACGGGTGAAGACGACGATGTTCCTACAAATAGAAGTCTTGCAGTCCTTCTCATCAGCATCCGCGTCATTGATGAGACCTGTCCAGACCAGACCAGAAGATCGACTGTGATCCGCTAACATACCCATTTTTTTCCCGAGTGGGCAAGGTGGTTGGGAGCCAGCCTCGATAAATACAGCTGGAGCCCGCATCACCCAGAAGGAATATTATTGTAGAAACAGTGTTATGCATATTTGTTCTCATTTGGCGATTCTTTTGATCCGATTCTACATGCGGAAACATCATGCCAACAATTGCTGTTGATGCGTGCGTAAAAAATGAGCAGAGCTGCCTCATTTTCCAGGAAAGAAATCACCTGACCCTTGGGCATGATTCTCAAAAGACTGCTGCACTATTTGACTAGGGATGATGGCTCAGGACCGGGTGTAGTACGTTTGTCCAGTCCACTTTTTCGCACCTCTTCTCTCATAGTGGCAGAGTCGCCTGCGGTGTGACCTCACTTAATTGCTGCTCGCTGCCTCCTGACCTCTCATCGATTACGTTGTTCAATCAATTATAACATAACATTTCCGTGTTCATATTCTTCGAGTCGTGTTATAACATGTTATAACTCGACTCGAAGAATATGAACATGGAATTGTGAAGAATACCCACTACGTAATGAACATTGAGTTTCAAACCTGATGAATCAAGAGTGAAAAAACATAATGGAAACGTTTTCTCAACTGGAAAATAAAGCTATTCATTTGTTGTTTATAGATGTTTTATATAAGGAGATCACTTGCCCACAAGCGTGTCATTCATTTAATGTGACCGTTAGCACTTTTGATTGTCCTAAATCTCACTCATTCCTCACACCCTATAAAAAGGGTCATTGCTACGAAGTACTCAAGGGCGCTTCTTGACAACAACCTGCAGCTCTGCTTGTTTGTGTGCAATCACTTGAGCCCAGCATGATTCAAGAATTTCACTGCGGCGGTTTTCAGCAGCTCTCATCATCCTTCTACACTTATGATTTTCCTCTTCAGCTTTCCTACAGCACTATCCACCGAGAACATGCACCTTCATTTTGGATGAACTCCTCGGTTCTTCAAGGCCCTCTCTACCATGTTTGCGCCTGATCCATGGTTATACGTGGGCGCTTTACCACAAGTTTCTCCCCCACTTTTACACCACTATCGTACTACGTTACCGCTACACCGATTTTTGCAGGTTATATTCCACCTGGACCCACTTTACCTGGTGATATGCATCGGCTCCATCAAACATTGGTTGTAGTTTTCCTCCCAGCACAGAAACGTTATCTGTTCCACTTCCATCTACAGTCCCTTCACGCCGTGCACCAAATCCGCTTGCACCCGATTCCTTGCTTGGTGATTCTACCGTTTCAGATTTATCTCAGACAGCGGCTCCTGCGTTACCAGAACAAAGAGAGACACAGACATATAATGGTGAAAAACCGGTAAAAACACGTTTTATTTCATGTGTAAACTTATTCAGTTGTTCTGACGTACCGGCCAAGTTGTGAAAAGGTCTTGATTATGTTTTTTCACGCTTGATTCATCGGTCTGAAACTCAATATTCATTTAGTATGGCTATTCTTCACATTTCCATATTCATATTCTTCGAGTCGTGTTATAACATGTTATAACTGATTGAACAGCGTAATCGATGAGAGGTCAGGAGGCAGCGAGCAAGCAATTAAGTGAGGTCACACCGCAGGCGACTCTGCCACTATGAGAGAAGAAGTGCGAAAAAGTGGACTGGACAAACGTCACATACCCGTTCGCTTTCTGGAAACCGCGTCGTGTTGTCGTCATCACACTTTGGCAGTCCAAGCGCAATGCAGCACTTGTACCAAGACGCTATGGCTGTTGTTGCCCATACGGAAAACCAACATATTTCCTCACGATGACGTGCAATAAATAAAAAAAACTTCCATCATGGCCAGACGGCGTCTGATCGTCCTGACTTACGCATGCGTTCAATGCAATGCTACGAGAACTTTGTTAGGACCTCAGACGACACGTTCTTAAGGAAGTAGAAGCATGTGTGTAAGTCGTTAATCCCAAAAACGCGGTTGCTGCGCTGTCATCTGCTTCTCATCATGAAAGAGGGCTGGAAAATGAAGATGAAGATAAAGAAGCAGAAGATGTAGATAAAGCTATAGCGGCAGAGATCCCAAGCAGAGAAAACGAACCTGAGCTGTGATTTCATACATGATCCATCGATATTGTGGATTTATGGACCCAAGATGGTTATGGTTACTGGGTCCTCTACTATGATGAACGGGTGAATCCATATAAAAAAACTATATCTCCTCCTGAAGTATGACTGCCACAATAATTTCGAAGTTTGCGGCATGATTTCGGCTGTCAAATATCTTTACAAGTATGTTTACAAGGAACCCGATCAAGCTCGTATCAGCCTCGAAGGCGAAGGAAATGTGGACGAAAATGAGAATGTCAGGCAGCATCTCAATACTCGCTATATGTGTGCACACCAGCATTTACCGAGTTTTCGAGTATAACATGCGAGGAAAATCACTTACGCTTTACAGACTAGCCGTCCATTTGTTTTTCGAACCAATCATTTCGAAGTTGGGAACAACGTATCTCGAGCGGCCCAGCAATCCTATACAACCGTTACAGCCTTTTTCGAGCTGAACCTGAGCTATAGTCAGCGTTTCCACGGAACCTCTACTACCGTCAGTTGCTAGAGCACTTCACCCGACGCTCGACCGGGATGGACACCGAGGAAAAGTGGATAAAAAACAGCTCGGAGGGTTGTTCGTACAATGTACTACACTGCTCCACATAATGATAGTTCCACCCATAAATATTACAAAATCCCGTCTTACATGAGGTTTTCAAAAATGTCCTCAAATAGAAAATGAGGTAATAATCAATACCAGTTTGCATGTCAACACCGGAAACTAACTTGAAAGAACAAGTTTTTTGTTCATTTTTTTGAAAATTGGTACTCTGACAATTCCACAAAATGATAGTTCCACCTCATGTTTTGTCGCTGCGTCTTTTTTTGTTGGGTAAAACTGTCTCATCATTGTGACTTTGCCTTTTCTAGGCTATGGCAAGAGGACATTCATTATCGGATTTGAAAAAGGACAGATAATCGCAAAGAAGACTCAAGGACTGTCGAACCGTCAAATCGCACGGGATTTGGGCCGCAGTCATCATGTGATCAACAATTTTGTCAAGCAACCTGCAGGATATGGAGTTAAGAAGAGCTCTGGGCGTCCTCCTTTGCTCTCTGATCGGGATAAGCGCCGTATTTTGAGAGAAGCATCAAATTCTCCAATGTCGTGCCGGGAAATAAAGTCAACTTTGAAGCTTAACGTCTCAGAGGAAACTGTTCGGTTGTATTGTGTTGGATTTATTCATTTTGTTGTGCACTTGTTGTTGGATGATCGATTTGTTTGGTGGAACTATCATTTTGTGGAATTGTCAGAGTACCAATTTTCAAAAAAATGAACAAAAAAACTTGTTCTTTCAAGTTAGTTTCCGGTGTTGACATGCAAACTGGTATTGATTATTACCTCATTTTCTATTTGAGGACATTTTTGAAAACCTCATGTAAGACGGGATTTTGTAATATTTATGGGTGGAACTATCATCTATGTGGAGCAGTGTATTTACCTCTAGAATAGAGCGATATTGCTTGCGGATGCTTCTCCTCAACACTAAAGGGAAAACATGTTTTGAAGACATGCGAACAATCGACGGCAGAATCTACGAGTCGTTCGCTGATGCAGCGAAAGCTGCTGGGTTATTTGGATGACGACAGGTACTTTCGGAAGAGTTTACTGGAAAAAGTACGCTACCAATCGGCATCAACGATGAGGAGCTTCTTTGCATGTCTTCTCTGTTTCTGCAAAGTACTGCAAGCGCACGATTTGTGAGAGGAATTCGCTGTTAATGTCGGACGATTACCTGCACCAAGGCTTTGATCGAGAACATGTAGCTTTGGCGCATTTCGCCGTCTTGGGTCGAGTAGCTATGATGGGCAGGAATTTAACGGAAGTGGTCACTCCTCCTGGCTCAGAACGCCCAGTTGCACCAATCATGGCGCTCGACTAGGAGTATGCGAGAAACGGGTTGAGTCAGTACGCACTCAATACTGAACAAAAGGCAACCACAGACCATATCCTTGGAGCTCTCGACGAGTCAGATAAGATATATATCTTTGCCGACGGTCCCGGCTGCGTTAATAGTCACCTATACAGCACTGTGTATAACATCGCTGTCGGGAGAAGGCGTCAGGTGCTGTGCATAGTATGAGCCTGCTTCTATGAGGACAGACTGTTGATTCTGACTTCAAATTGAGTTATCGGCGACGGCGATAGAACTTCTTCTATGAGACGACATAGAAAGAAGCTCCGCAGCCTAAGGAGACTGATATTATGATTCAAAATAAAATCTCCATGACCTCGATAACAGCTCTTGAAGCAATCGATGCTCTCCTAAGAGATGTCATGCAGGTGAACGCTCCTTTTGGTAGTAAATGATAGCGATCGATGAGGTAATTTCTTTCAGTTTTGCCCGTCGTTGAAGGACAGAGGGAGGAAATCGTTCAAACTTGCGTTTTAAACTCACTTCTTTAGCCGTTGTTTCGCATCCACAGGGTGAAGGTGAACATAGGGTGGCAAGAAGTTGGCTGCGATCGGAGTGCACGTCTGCTTGAAATAATCAATCAAGAATCAAATGACGAAGATGGCCGGACAGCTGTTCCAGCTGAGATTATGTGTAGGAGGGATACTGTCATTGAGATTTCTGGTTAGGTGTTCGTTAACTACTTTAAACCTTCCCGAGAATGCCATACTGGCACAAAAAAACGTGCGCGTCTACCTCTAAGGAAGATGCTCTTCAACGTCTCTTGTCGGCACAGCACAAGACGAGCGAATTTACAAGTCTTAATCCTAAGGGGAAGCCGTGACAGCTTTTTCAACCGGAGTACCTCAATTTCCTCACTCCCACAGGCATACCTCCACACGAGCTGCACCTGAAAAAAGGAGCAATAGCTATGTTGCTCAGAGATCTGGATGTGGCACATGGAATGTGTAATGTACCCACTAAAAACCGTAGGACGCTTCACCTTGGCTTATAGGTTCATCTCTTGGGAGCGAAGAAACAGTTAGCCATAATTATAAGGAAAGACAATTATTAGGATCAAAGGGCTCTCTTCATGCTCTGTCGGCGACAGTTTCCTGTTTGCATAGCTTTTGCGATAACGGTCAATGAAGCCGAGGGACGGCCATTCACTGAAGTTGGAGTGTTCCTTTCATAAGACGTTCTTCTATGGTTAGCTCTGCGTTGGGGAACACCTGATGGGATCAAGTTGATTAGACTGAATTACTTGGAAAACATAGTGATGAGGTGTTGCTCCGGTGATCCCGTAACTGCTTCGCAGAAGGTGCGATGCTTTAGATTACCTCAATACGGACAGTGAAGTGAGAGTCTGCATTTTTGAACCCATGTTATTACCTCATCAAGCAACATTTAACCAGGAGGAAAGTTGCCATCTTATGATAAACAAACTGTTCTAAGACACAGAAATTCAAGAACAAGGAAGGTGAAACTGGCCGTAAAACGGCAATTTTTATCCTGTAAAGTCAGTGGACACCCAAAGAGGTGAGATAGCTTTGGCAGCGCGAGCTCTCTAGCATAGACTTCAATCACACACTTTGAGGAGCTTCCGTAACGGATCAACTTGAGGAAAATAAAATAGATTTGGAGTTCGTCTACTTCCTTCCCATATTAGCTCTAGAACTCAGTCTCTCGCTTTTGATATTTTCTTCTATCTTTCTCACATCCTTATTAATTTTTGACTGACTGTACAGCTCTCTCTTCTTCATAGTTTTCTTTTTTCTTCTTTTGGGTAATGCTGAGCTCAAAGCGAAATAGGTAACTGTGGTTCGAGATGAAGTCAGTGCACATCTTCTGGAAGGGCGCTTGGAGAGCGGCACAAAAAGGATCATGCAGTAGTGGACAAGACATCCAGGTACTGCGATGTGAAATCGAAGCTGAGAGGAAGAACAGGGTACCGAGCCATAAAGACAGTTGAGACTAGGTCTATTCAACCGGTTACTTACTTTTTGCTTCTTCTATATTATTCCCGCCATGAAAGGGTCAAACAAGAACTGTAGATTACACAGGGGAGGAGGCATCAACCGCTGGCGATAGCAGGATTAGTTGTTTCGCATTATTCCATCGCGCTGTGCGCGCGGTATCCTGCACCAAATTGTGTGAAATATGGTTGGAGCGGCGAAGCCGCGCTTACCCGGCAAAGCCGGCAGGGCACACCATCGCGTTGTGATAGATTTATGCTGAACACGTCCTCCCCCCAAGACTGCTTAATAGCTCTTTATCTGGTAAAAGTCAAACAATACTTCGCTAGCAAAAATCGTTTATTCGCTACCATATGAACAATTGAGTGCTGGCAGGTTCATGCCACATAAAGGCACCAGCACTAAATTTTTATCTGTCATCAGATAAACAGTTTAAGGGTGATGCCTTTATGTGGCACGAATGTACCAGCAGTTGGGGAAAAAAACCGAAAAAACGAAAGAGCTATATAAACAGACGGCAAAGAAAAATACGCGAGGGTAATCAAGTATAAGTCTGAAGAACACGAAGAAAATGACATCATTCTAAGAAAAGGACGCGGAACATTTAATAAGCCGCTAAAGTGGGGGGGGGGAGTGCTGGTACCAGCACTTGAATTGTCAGGGCCAGCCACTCAAAGTTGTAGTTAGAGCACGCTCTATTCGTGGTACTGGAGCGAGCTATTTCACGTCCGAGTTCAGTTCCCAGCCAAGCACTCAGGAAATACCCTTCGCTTGAACACCCATAACTTCTTTGTGGAGCTTCTGAAGAGAAGGAAACATGGCTGTAGAGCACTAGGATGGCACTTGTTAACCGAGCTCAAGAGATTCTGAAAAATCTTTTCAAGTAATTCCCATGTGATCGCGTCGTTACGTTGGGGGTTATCTATGAAACCTTACACTTTGAACAGCTGTAACAATCTTCATCTGGAGCATTTGTAAAACAAAAAACAGTGCCTTAATCTCGACGATCTATAAATCTAACATGTCTTTAATTTTTCCCATGCCTGCTATTCAAGAAAATTCCCCGTTGTGGTGTTCTTGTGACATCGTTCGAGCGAATAATACCACAGCACCACTTCCAGTCGGTTCAAAGACGCTGGTATATCTCTATTTAGATTTCCGCCAAGGACAACAGGAAATAGTTCCTTAGGAATAGTTCCTTAGGTTCCGATTGGCATCACGCTGTAATGCACCAAGCATATGGCTCCTACGCAGAGGTGTTTGGAAGATGTAACTTCTAGAAGGGGCTTCGCTAACGCAGAAGGAGGCGCGACGGCATTAAGCTGACGGTTATCAATACAGGCACGAAAACGTCCTATATTTATTTATTTATTGAATACACTCAAGGGTGCGCCACAAGTTATGGGAAAGTGAAACCAACACAGTTAGTGCATAATACAGCCAGGTATACTGATAAAAAAAGAATAAAACATTTGGAAACAACACAATATCATTTAAATGAGCAAAAAAATTAGGAATAGTTCAAAGGAAATCTAGGTAAAGCATATAGGCTGTGTTTCGAAGCGGGATCAGAAAAATCAGAAAAATTACCGGGACCTTCCCTGTGTGTAGTGTAAGGCTGTTTTCCCCTTCAGGCAGATGAAAGAGTCCCCCGCGAGATCCTGGTCCTTGGTTCTGAACGCAAGGATTTTAGACGAACAGTACTGGGGCTTGCTGACAACTTAACCCGTTACGAACGAATTCGTCCGGGACCCCAGGCGAACAAACCAAGGGGGACCTCAAGCGAGGGGTTCATCACCCCTCCGGCTCATCAAACAACTGGTAACACAGTTCGAGCCCGCGGCCGTTCTCCAAAGCATACTTTTAATTAACCAGCCTACAGCCTCCTATTACCAAATGGTATTAGCAAGAGAAGGTGCCTAAGAACATATTGCCGAAGTACGTGACCTGATCTCAATCATGAAATAGCAAATAATAGACGGGAGTATTCAGTCACTCCCTGAATACAAAGTTTGTCCAGCTAACGCAACAGTTTCTTATCATCTTGCAAGATAGACCACCGGTTGTGAACGAACCAACCACGCACTAGAAGACATTGACCAGACACCCAGCGTTGAGACTGAAACACGAGAAAGAAAGACGAGAAAGTAACCGAGGTTAAACCGAGTCAGGTATTCTTAAGATGCGCAAGAGGTCAAGCTCACTCAGCCTGCTCTTGAACGACTTACTATTATTTGCTTGAAGAACGTGAGGCGGTAACAGCTCGAACCATCTTGCGCAACGATTAAACACTATATTGAACATTAATGAATAGTTCTTTGGGTAGATGCGGTCATAGTGAAGATTTAACCCACCCAGCCTTCCAGTGGTAGGACTGAAGCTCCAGTACTTACTAGCCCTTAGCTTGACCTCCTTCCGAATAATACGGAAGCAAAACACCAAATCAGATAAAATCCGTCTATACTGCAACGTATGCAAGGAAAACGCCCTCAGTCGAACCCTGTAGGGAGGGATATCGTACCGACCAGTACAGTTTGTGGACCTAAACCAAAGTAGACGAGTGAATACATGTTGGACTTTCTCAATCTTCAATACGTCCTTCCTCAAAGATGGGCTCCATACTTGTGAGCAATACTCAAGGTGTGGTCGGACATACGCTTTGTAAAGCCGCAATAGGGTAGTCGGGTCTGAACTTCGAATATTTCTCATTATAACAAACAGAGCAGAGTACGCTTTTTTGATAATGCAATCAATATGACTGGAGAATTTCAAATTCGAGTCGAAAATGACTCCAAGGTCTTTCTTTGAGTCACAGGTGGGGAGTGTTATACCGT